CAAAGATTTTTTTTAAAAAGATTTTTTTTTTGTGCACACAAGAGCTGGGGTGTAGGCCAGAGATGCAGGGGGGTGACAGGATTCACCAGAGACTGAGTGAGGAGCAGAACAGGAGGATCTACTGAAATACAAAGCAGGCGAGACAGGAGAGGTCTACTGTGCCATGTGGGTTAGCTCCCTGGCTGGCTATGATTGAACACACGCTGCAGTGGCTGCCAATAGCTTGATAGTGCTAAGACTTAACCCCTTGTGCCACCAGGGAGGCCCGAAGATTGGTTTTTGAAGAGAGATGGAAAGCAAGAAGGGGTCTTTTTCCTGTGAGTTGCACACTGGCACATAGTGTATGTGGTGTTTTCTTTCTGATGATGATGTAAGTAATCCATTTAAATCATTTCCTGTTTGAATTTGGAGAAGGCTAGTAAGTGGCAAATCAGTGGGTATCCAAAGATAAGTAGAGGTGGCCACAAGTGGTGTAAAAGGGAAAGAAGAAAGGGATTCTTCAGAATGTTATTTATTCTGAGTTAGCAGAAAAGAAGCTGTGCAAAAAGGATTTTTATGAGTTTTTTGGAAGGTTCAATGTAAATCTGACTTTTGCTCATTTTTCATTTTTTCTCAAATTTTATTGATTTGTTACTTGTTTAAATAACTATGTAATTTTGAGAATACAACTTCACACCTCCATATGTGCACATGCTTCATTCAGCAACCAGCAAAGCGCATTCTTAAACACACTCCAAGAGTGATCCTAGAGTCAAAGTCTCATTCCTTCAGCCTCAGTACTCCAGAGCACATATCTCTAGACTTGAATCATTCCTCTTTTTTTATTTGTATTAGTCATCAATTGCTGCATAAAAATTTACCCCAAACTTAGTGCTTATAGTTTATAGTTTATAGTTTCTGTGGGTCGGCATTTTGGGACTAGCATATCTGGGTGGTTCTGATTTGGAGTATCTCACAACGTGGCAGTCAAGATATGCCAGCGGGGACTGCAGTCATCTGAAGGACTCATTCCCAAGAATGGTGCACTAACGTGACTGTCACGTTGGTAGCAACTACTGCTATGATGCCTCAGTTCCTTGCCAAATGCCACTCCACATGGGGCTACTTATGTGTTCTCATGTTATGGCAACTGCCTTTCATCTAACTAAGTGACCTAAGAGAGCATAAAGTGAAAGCTGAGTTGTCTTTTATGGCTTGGAATTTACAAACCCTATTTTCTGAGAAGGTCCATTGTCTATACAAGTCAGACTAAATCAGTAAGGGAAGGATAACAACCACACAAGGGTGGACATACAAAGAGGCAGAGACCACTGGAGACCATTTTGGAGGCCTGCAGCTATATTTATTTTTAAATATATGAAATATAATTAATTATATATGTACCCAGATTTATTATTAATATGCAATATATTAACAATAATTGATATATAAAATATATAATGACATATACATACCACAAAGGTTATTCCTGAATTCTGGTACCATCTCTTGAAATAGTATATTACCATTTACCGTAAGTGAAAAAAATCTCTCTTAAGACAGACACATAATTCTTAAATGTGAAAGACCAGAGAAAAAGGGAAGCCTGGAAAACTGTATTTCTTGGGCAGTTCAATATCCCAGGGTTCTCAATTTTATAACATAAACTTTCACTATATAATCATTCTTACACTTCCTGCCCTGAGATACAGTGGTGTCCTAGTCTCAAGATACTCATGACAGAACACTTCCCTCTACAATGCATTTAAAAAATAAACAAAACTCTTTCTTAGAAGTAAAATTGCAAGTGACATGCTAATACACATAGAACACTTTAAAGATTCCACTACAAATCTAGTTAAAACATTATACTAGTATAGCAGGAAGGAGGTTACAAAATCAATTTACAAAAATCAGTTGAGTTCATAAATGCAAACATCACAGCTGGAAAGGAAGAAATCAAGAAAACAATACAATTTACAATTACATCAAAAAGAAATACCTAGGAGTAAACTTAACAGAGGTAAAGGACCTGTACAATGGGAGCAAAATGATATTGTTAAAAGAAATAGAAGATACAAAGAAATGGAAAGATATCCCTTGTTAATGGATTGGAAGAATAAACAATGTTAAAATGACCATCTTACCCAAAGCAATACACAAATTCAATGCAATCCCTATAAAAGTTTCAATGACATTCTTCAAAGAAATAGTATAAACATTACTGAAATTCATATGGAACCACAAAAGACCGTGAATAGCCAAAGCAAAAAGAATGATGGCATCACACTACCAGACTTCACACTAGACTACAAAGCTATAAAAATAAAAAAAAAGTATGATACTAGAACAAAAACAGACAGACCAATGGAACAGAATAGAGAACCAAGAAATAAATCTACACTTATTTGGATAGTTAATATATGAAAAAGGAACCAAAAATATACATTGGAGAAAGGAAATTCTCTTCAACAAATAAATGGTTTTGGGGAAAATTGGACAGCCACATGCAAAAGAATGACATTAGACCACTATCTCATACTATACACAAAAATTAATGCAGGATATATAAAGACTTGAATGTAACATCTGAAAACATAAAATATATAGAAGAAAACACGTGTAAAACACTCCATGATGTATGCCTCGATGATGTTTTTGTAGATTCCACAAGAAAAACAAAAGAGAATATAAACAATCGGGACTACATCAAACTTAAAAGCTTCTGCACAGAGAAAAAGTATCACTAAAGATAACCCTACTGAATAGGAAAAAATATTTTCACAACAAACATCTGACATGGGGCAGATATCCAAGATCTACAAAGAACTCATATAAATCAACAAAAAGAAAACAAACCAATTTTAAAAATGGGCAAAGAACTAAATTGGCAATTCTCCAAAGAAGACATACAGATAAACAACAGGCACAGGAGAACATGCCCATCATCACTATGGTCAGGGAAATGCAAATCAAAGCCACAATAATAGACCATCTCATGTGTGTGGGAACGGCCCTTATCAAAAAGACCAGAAACAATAAGTGATGGTGAGGATGTTAATAAAAAAGAATACTTATACACTTTGGTTCAGGGACAGGTCAGTCCCTATGGAAAGCAGTATGGCGATTTCTTAAAATATTAAACATTGGGGCTCCCTAGTGGCACAAGGGGTTAAGCACAGCACTATGAAGCTACCCACAGCCTCTGCAGCACAGCGGGCCAGGGAGCAACCCACATGGCGCAGTAGACCTCTCCTGTCTCGCCCGCTGCTCCCCTCAGCAGTGTACTTCAGTCAGTCTGCCTGTTCTGTTCCCCACTCTGTCTCTGGTGAGTCCTCTCACCCCCCCGCACCTGTACCCCAGCTCTTGTATGCATAAATAAATAAATTAAAAAAATTTAAACATTGATCTACTATGTTTCAGCATTCTGCTCCTAGGTATCTACCCAAAGGATGCAAAAACACCAATTCAAATGGATATAATTGCAGCACTACTTACAACAGTCAAGTTATGGAAACAACTTAAGTGCCCAAGGACAGATGAGTGGATTAGGAAGATGTGGTTTATATACACAGTGGAATACTACTTAACTATAAAAAATAGATCAACTCTTGCCATTTCTGACATGGATACAACTGGGAAGGATTATGTTAAGTGAAACAAGTTAGAAGAAGGAAAAAAAATACCAATAATGGAGTCTCACTGGTGGTGCAAGGGGTTAAGACTCAGCACTATGAAGCTATCAGCAGCTATGGCAACACAAGTTTGATCCCCAACCAGTCTTGCCCTCAGCTCCTGTCGCAGTGTATTTCAGTCAGTCCGCCTATTCTGCTCCCCACTCTTTCTCTGATGAATCCCATCTCTCCCCCACCTCCACACCTCTGGCCTGTACCCCAGCTCTTTTATGCATAAATAAATAAAATACATCTTTAAAACAAAAATACCAATAATGTCCCTTCTATGTGGGCTATAGAGAAACCAAACAAAGGATCAGAAAAAAACAAACCAAAATATCTGACTGTAAAACTGAGGGGGAGGTAAAGGTGGAGAGGAGAGCAAAATGGGAGGAGGCACAATGGACTATAGTGGAGGCCTATGGGTGCTTTGGTGGTGGGTGTGGTGTGGTAACCTACACCTGAAGGTGTGATCCTGTACCTCTAAAATCATGCAGTGTTGTCAATCACAGTTGCTACCAAAAAACACACAAAAACCACAAAACAAACACCCTGTTCTTTCCTGATATAAGGTTTCTGGACTGCTTTTTTACACATTCTATCTTTTTTTTTTTTTTAAAGATTTATTTATTTATGCCTACAAGAACTGGGGTACAGGCCAGAGGTGTGGGGGGTGAGAGGATTCACCAGAGTCAGAGCAGGGAACAGAACAGGCGGATTGACTGAAATACACCACTGAGGGGAGCAGCGGGCGAGACAGAAGTCTGCTGCACCATGTGGGTAGCTCCCTGGCCAGGGATCGAACTCATGCTGCAGAGGCTGTGGGTAGCTTCATAGTGCTGTGCTTAAACCCTTGCGCCACCAGGGAGGCCCACATTCTCTTTATCTTATCTTTCATGGATTTGCAAATGAGAATTGGTCATCAATATCAAAATAATAATAATTGTTCCATCATTTGGAGAATTCAATTCTGCCTACTGACTCGTTTTAAATAACAAATTCATTAAAATGCTCACTCATAGCAGAGGTTATATCTCAATGGCTTAAAGATGACAAGCTGTATTTGCTGAGTGAAAAATATTTTCCTCAAATAGAAAATAGTTACTGGAAATACTGGGCATAATTTGAATGAGTCTGGAGTTTTTCCATGTAAATTTCTTTAAATTTAGAGAAATGTTTACAGAAACTCCAATTCAAAGGAATTCAAATCACTTACCCAGCCAATACTCCGAAGTGAACTGCTAAAGTAATGGTAAGAGCAACTTACCATTTCTTTAAGGGGAAAGAAAACAATTTGGCAACTTCTTTAAGTTTGAATGGAACAAGATGAGCTGCATCATCAATTACCTTTAATGTACATTTTGTCCTGCGTTTCATCCAAGAATCTGGACATGACAGACAGTAGAGGTGCCTGCTGATTTTTAAGAAGTGTCAAGAGGCTGTGGCATTTCTGGAAAAGAAGATTCTATAACCATTCTGAGATCAACATAAGATTCATATTGAACTTCCATATTCTTAATCAGCTTTAATCATAATGTCACTCGAGTGAAGAGCGAGACTTGAAGTGAAGCTCATAATTCACTGCATCCCTGGAGTCACTGCGATTATTAAGTAAAAAAGCATTGGCCATGGGAAGTTTGAGACACCTGAGTTTTAGTTCTGCTATGAATTAGCTTTATAAGCTTAGGAAAGTAGATTAACCTCTGAGTTTTTTCTTCTGTACGGTGCCAAGGAGAGGAGAGGGTCTTAATCTTAAGGTTTCCTTTTCATCACAGAGCTTGGTACAGTCAACACCAAATACAAAGTTCCACCACACAGCCTCACGGCTCCGCCCTCCTCGCTTTTCTTTGAAAAATTTCGAGGCTCTCCTACATTTTCTTGCTTAGAACCCCACACTGGTGCTCTAGAGGGCCTCTCACTGAACCCTGTTATCTGGTGGTGTTTTTCAAAAAGGGAATCACCTATGGTTCTTCGTGGGTTGTGAAAAGCGCAGGGGTACAACGGGCTCCAGGCTGACATTATTTACTGGAGGTCTCTGACTTCGTTTTCCCTGACACCTTTGTGCGTTTCCCCGGAAGCCACCGATGAAAGCCCCCGTTAGGCGGCCATGGGGGAAGAAGGCGCCACAACGGCCAGCTCTTGGCTCTGGTTCTGAGGTGGAGGCATGGCAGGGCCTCCCGCTTTAGGGCCCTTCTTCGCGACTGTGTAAACTCGTATCGTGACAAAGCATTTCCAGTTTTCTCCCGAAAATCTCAACCTGAGGTGACAACCGCGCCTCTACGGCCAAGTTAAACCGCTGAGGTACCTGCGCCCCGCGGTGGCCCAACCACCAGTCTCAGGAGCCCCACTTCCGGCGCCCGCCGGCGGGCGGTTGCGCTTGAGGTCGGAACTACCAGGCCCAGAATCCCCGCGCGCATGCGCGCTGCCTTTGTGATGCTCCTTTCCCGGTAACTCGCCCTCTCAGGCAAACCTGAAGATAGCGGCAATTCTCCGGTCGGGGGTGGAGACGCACTCGCCAGACACTCCGCCCCCTTCGTGATAGACAATGGAACCAGCCAACCGACGTGGCGGACTGGGGACGTACTCTCCAATAAGCATTTGTGGCGGGGAGGTGGGCGTGGTCTGTGGCGGGGCAGGTGGGCTAGGCTGTGCCGGGTTGCGAAGGGGGAGAATAACGTCGGGTCGGGTCAGCAGGCGCTGCAGTAGTCGCCGCAGCGGCGATGGGAGCGGTGGGGACCGGGCGGCGGCGGCGGGGGCAGGAGGCGGAGCAGGGGCTGGCGCAGGAGCAGCGGCTGGGGGCGGCCCGCAGCAGCACTAACAGCAGCAGCCGCCGCCGCCGCCTGTAAACGCTGCGGGCGCCCGAGGGTACCGCCCGGCCCGCCGGCCCGCGGAGCCGCGCTCGGGTCCCGCCGCAGTCGGCGGCGGGGGATGGGCAGGTGGCTGCGGTCCCGCCTGCTGAGGGTTGACCCCTGTCGGCTCCAGCCCTAAACTGGACTCGAGCCCTCTCCCCGAAATCTCTGCGTCCGCCGGGGCCCAGGTAGGACACACCCCCCTGAAACCCCCAAGAGCGCCGCTGGGGGACACCCCAAACCCTCCCTCCCCCCCACCCCCTCCTCAGGCCGCACCCCTCGCCCAGTCGCCGACCCTGCTGCGGTGAGGAGGGCGCTGGAGACTCTTGGGGGGCAGCCCACGCCCTGGGTTACTCCACCTCGGAGACGGTCTCTCCAGGTGTTCCCCAAGGGCTCTGCCGCGTTTAGTGTCTGCACGGAACTTGGAGGCTCACGAAGCTTCTCTCTGCGGGTGACCCACATATCACTTGTGTTCCTGCTGCCTTTGGTATCAGAACTGAACACAGAGGAGTCTCTGGATCTGCTGAGCTGTTCTCTCTCCACCCCCACCCCCCACGATGGAAGGGGCATGTCACGGTAGAATCTGCTTGCTGTGTAGTATTAACGACGACGGCCACGACTTTGTGGTA